TCTCTCTCTCTCTCTCTCTCTCTCTCTCTCTCTCTCTCTCTTACTCGGTGTGTGTCTGCGTTCGTGCGTGCGTGCGTGCGTGCGTGCGGGCGTGCGTGTGTGCGTGTGTGTGTGAGTGTGTGTGTATGTGTGTGTGTGTGTGTCTCCAGCTGTACTCCATTTGTGCCTCTTCGTAAATGAAAGACAATCGTGTGTCCACCTGATCTCACCAAGCTAAAGTAGATTTTAAGGGTACACCATCCTCTACAAATCGAAACGAACACCAAAGAAAAGAAGAAGAAAGGAGTTCGTCGTTTTAGTTTTAGTAGAGGCTATTGTTTTGGTTCTAAATGTAGGTGTAAAATGCTCCCATCAACAAATCTTTAATAATTTAGGAGGCGAGCTGTGACTCTGCCTGACAGGATCAGCCCGGGCTGAGAAGGATCCAACGTTCTAGATGAAAGACTTAGATGCTCTAAAGAAATTCACGCCACACATGAATCGAACTCCGGTTTCCTTCTTGCGACGACGAAGAGCCTGTAACCTCTACGCCACAGACGCCAGTTCCCAGTCTCTCTGTCTTGCAATGCAAAGAACTTCTCAAACGTCTGCCCGTGTCCTTAGTTAGCGATGCAGAGCCGTTTAATTTCCTCGAGGTCAAAACAGTCTATTGAGATTGTTGATAACGGTGTTAAAGGTCAACACCCCATAAAAACAATGTAGGTCATTTCATTGGCAGAGACGTGGTTTCTCAATTCGGAACTTTCATGACCCAGTGCGCCCAATCGAGGTCTGCACTCTCCAGGCGCAGTTCGTCCATAGAGCACGGTAGTGCAGTGTCGCCATTGTTAAAATGTTATGTTATGTAAAGCCCCCACAAACATAAAATATAAGAAGCCAGGAACAAACACTAGCCAAATGTTATATCAAAACAAGAGCCTTACTGGCGCCGTGACTGTCATTCCTGTGTCTATAGTGCCGTAAAACATTTACTCTATGCCATGCCAACGTCCACGCACTTTAACTAAACATAATAGGATATTCAAAAGTGGTAACAGGACCTATAAATCGCTCTTTGGGATAACCCATGCGATGACGACACTCTCAGCAAGTTTGGCGGTTCATTAATATTAATAAGACAGCACTTCTTAAATGTTCACCCACGAAACATAGCCCACAGCACCAGCAGTCTAAAAACAAGCACGATAGACTGTACACTATTTTATGCCAAAATTATGTGAGCCCCGGAGCAATCCAGCGGAATGCTCAAGTGAATTGTGATTGGCTCATTGTCTAAGCACTATTTCAAGTAACTCGGTGATCGTGAACCTGAGGGATGTGAACGTGACATACGTAGCCTAAGTCACCGTCCTATGAGCAGTGCTATTGAATGGTTTGTAGTGGAGTAATGAAAGTCATGACACGAGTGTTCAGTTCCAGGGTAGAATGAATGAAATTGATGTTTAACTAACAAACAGATTTAGTTCTAGAAGTCAAAGCAACAAGTAAAAAAAATAAAAATAAAAGCGCAAGGTCCTCCTTCACAAACCCAAAGATCCTAAAAGTATACACCATCCCATTTACTATGCCTCTGACTATCTTTAACGTACGATAGCTTAATTGTGTACGCCCACTGTTTAGCACCACGAGCCGCCCTTGCCATGGCGTCATGCACGAAAAACGCCTTTAACTTATTCAATTAAAGGGTGGAGGGGGGCGGGGCGGAGGGCGGGGCTTTTTGTAAACAGTTTTACCAGTATGGGGTTAGAACCAGCGGACTGTTCCAACATTATGACTGAAGTATAGTTGTGATCTTTTCGTTCAAATTATGAATTATATCTTTTACCAGCGGGATCGTGCTTAAACTTCTTCAGCTTTCCTGAACACAGTCTTATGTCTCTCCAGACAACAAGCAACTCGGAAATCCATTTTGCCTTCCATAAAATTTGTGTCACATTAATATCACTTACGGATTGCTACCACTTGAGTTGAAGGAACAGTATGCTACCTTTCAATAACATGAAGCGCAGCACCCCCCCCCCCTCCCAACCCCTCTATTTCCTCAACTATCCCCTATCCCCTACCCTTCCTCACTCCCCCCCCCCCGGAAAACAAACAGCGTTCTGTGGCAAGTTCCAGAGCGCTATATTGTAGCATTAAGAGCTTCACCCTTTTTGGCAGGATTGTGAAAGCATAAAGTAGACCATTGAAACGTAAGAAGAACACAAAGCCCAGAGAGTATGTAATAGTTCTGTAACAAAGCATTTATTTACATAACAAAATAGAATACTCTGTGGAGCAGTCATAACAAAATGTGCAAATATGCACTGTAAATACTGCTTTTTACATAACATAGGTAATCGATGGCAAGTGTTAATGATCATCAAGCAACACATATATCCATCTCGTCAAAAATAATCATTTCTTTTACTTTCTCGCTCATGCAAACGTATGAACAACAGAGTCAAATACAATTTTATTTACAAACAACATTTAGAATTAATACAAAATTCCACGTAGCTGCGATGTTCTCTTTGTATGTACATGAGCATATCTTTGTTACAAATTTTGTTCTTTTCTGTCACATTTGTTGCCAGTAGAATGAGCGATATGAGAAAAGAATAAAAAAAATAAAGACAGCTAGTTTTTCTATAGTTTTGGTATCTACATTATGTTTCCAGCAGAAGGTTTCGTAGTTTTCTTATCGAATGCAAACATTGACCGAACGTCAATTTTTTTTTAAATCTCAAATTATGGGGGACACCATGTTCAAAACTGTTTGGGAGAGTTATGTAATTGTCAGAAGATCAGTTGTATAAATCTATGATGCCTTTTCAAGACGTAATCTGATTTGAGAGATTGCTAAGCCATAATACATTATATCATGTTTCCTTAGTTGCATGTCTCGTTTGACAATCCGAATATACAATATGTGCGTGACTTCTTATTTTAAAAAGTATGAAATTCGCTTTGTATCAAGGGTCATGGTTCTTTACCAAACATAAAGTGGAAGTTCGTATGACATTGTCGCTTACGTGATTAATTAAGTAATATACCTTTTAAAAAATAAAAAACCTCAATCTGTCATGGGCCATTTTATCTTCTTAAAAAATAAAACTGTTTAATAAAAACAAAAGACAAGCTACCACATGATATAGACAGAACAAAGATCAGACGCTTATCATCTGGGTTTTTGTTGGGGCTTTTTTTACTTTGTTTTAGCTAAAGAAATCGTGTGGAAACCAAAACAGTTTTAAAAACAAAACAAAAACAAAAAAACAACCTCCCCCCTCCCCGAAAAGAGCAAAACTTTAGAAGAAGGAAACGTTTAAAAGTCTTCACAGACAACGTCATAGAATATGAATGCTGTGACTCATGCTCTTCAGGAATTGTTCACCTCATTAACATTAGTTTATGGTGACCTCTAGATCAAGTCTCGCTGACCTCATCAGTTCAGAACACAGAGCAGAATGGACAACTATTCCAGATTGTATGAGAAAAAGTTGCGCCGTACGCGGATTCGAACCTCAAAACGAGTTCTCCACTTTCGTTACCAACAGGGACAAATCGGCTGTCTGACGTTATTCAGAACCAGTGGCCGAATTGAAGGCACAATGTAACGTGACAAACGGATTCAGCCGAATACGGCACGGGAACTCCGCGCCTCTCTTTAGTTACGGCTTTAGCAGACGCTGTCAAAGACCGGCATTAAATGAAACGAGTTAATAAAAATTAGCATAACTTGTTTCGAGATTCTTTAAGATAATGCTGTTACTGTCAACTTTACAATCTGCCTACGGGAAACATGTGTTGATGTAACTGTAGACATTTTCAGACAGTTGAAGACTCATCTCACCCTTAGCCATTTGTGGCAGAACCACTTGTCTCTTCAACTGACCCATACTACGGAGGAAAGGCACTTGTCTTGGGCAGTGGACCTTTACCGCATCGAAGTTCATTTGTTCCCTGCAAGCGAGAACAGTTTCAGCAAAGAGCGCCGCAGCCACGGAGTCTGTGTCGGCATACAATGGCGCCACACACAGGGACTGCCCCACGAGAGCAGCACCGCAATAACCGATGACATCACCAGAAAGTGTGTCCAACGCCACCATGACATTGTCTGTTTCAGGGAAAAGTACTTGTGTTAGATACTTGGTGCGTTTATACCCAGCCACTTTTCGGTCATAATCTACAAGTTTGGACAAAGGAACAGAGTTTCTGGCTACCACTTTCACATTCTGGTAGCTCCCTTTCGTAATAGCTTTCAGTTTGTTGTAATCAGGAATGATAAAACTAACGACCACTGACATATTGTCAATAAACACGTAGCCTTTGTCAGTGTAAAACTTTTCTGCTCCTGGAAATGCAAGAAGGGAAACTACTCTCTTGCCGGCATTTCTTTCCACAGCCTCCAAGAGCACTTTTCCAACCCCCAGTTTGCGGTAGTCGCGGCTCACGAGAATGTACAGCAGAGCCGAGTCTGAAGGGCCCACATTGCAACTTGTGGCGAATCCTGAGGACGAGGGGAGAGTGAAAGTAGATTATAGAGAGTGGAAAGTACAGAAATCGTGAAGACAAAGTTCCTAAACATGCTCCAAATTATTCGTTGAAACGGAACTATAGAAAACACTGAACCACTCCCCCTCCGCTCCCCAGCCCTGCCCTAGGCCACCTACCCTCCCCCGGAAAAAACACACCGAATCAAGCAAATATACAAATAGAACAATACGCACAGACACTATCAATTCAGCCACACATACATACCAACATACATAGACACGACCTCATTATAAACCCTTTAGCTTTGTCATTCTTCCTCTTACCTTTTTCTTTTCTCAGTCTCTCCCGCCTCCCTCCTCCTAATCTCCCTTCATGAGTCTCTTCCCCTTTCTTCTTCTCTTACACACACACACATACACACAAACACACACACACACACATACACACAAGCACATTCATACACACGCACACCCACAAACACGTTACTCTCTTATAGAATCTAGAAAAGAAAAATAGCTACAAAAATTAACTGAAGCTCCAAATCTACTTGTCACAGAATCATTGTGACGAATCATTCCTCTACCTACCCATGACATTTCCTTCCGTGTCTACCGCTACCAGCGCCCCTCCAGGACTCATAGACTTGATGGCCATCGCCATTGGCACGGATTTGACCCAGCCCTCCATTTGAACCATGTGGGCCACAAAGGGGAGGTCACTTTCTTCCATTTCTCGTACGCCTACCTCAGCACCTTGTGGAGTTACACCTGACAAACAGAAAGAAGTAAATCAAATTATTAGATTTTAAAAATAAAGATGTATTCTTTAATTATCATGCCCTCTTATTGTAGACAAAATGGGTACAAGTATAATTATGTGGACCTCTCATTCTTAGAATAAGCGTAAAGTGTCGTGGCTTCAAGGCGACCTGTAATTTTGTCACACAGAGGGCGATGACAGTCTTTTAACTAGGTCAGGCAAGTCCCGAGTAGAGGGCTCTAGTTACTGTACAGTGTTGCCACTCAAAGTGTATCAGCGCAATGTTCTGTGCACAGGGCGGGGAAATACCTACTATTTGCTATGTTCTTGGAGGTATAGAAGACAGAAAATTGTCCCAAACGTTTAATCAGATCTTGTGTAAGGAAATGAAGAAAACTACCACCATTATCATCATTATCAAAATAGTGAATGCCCGTTATGGTCAAATAAACTTTGTAGTAACATTTGTCTTCGTCACACCGTGAGAGGAGGGATTTGGTCAAAGAAGAAGAAGAAGAAGAAGAAGAAGAAGAAGAAGAAGAAGAAGAAGAAGAAGAAGAAGAAGAAGAAGAAGAAGAAGAAGAAGAAGAAGA